ATTACTCAAGTACTTGCTAGGTACTTAGCAAGTTTGTTCCAGATGTGCTAGAGGAATAATGGAGTAAATGGAGAAGTCATAAAAATTCCAGGAATATAGGAATAGTTTATTAATCATACAGCAACTCCAGAATGATCCTTCGGCTAGTCCATAAATATCACAAACAAAACTAATGATATTTATAGTAATGAGCTAGCTCATTTCCTTGCTATTCTCCTGCATCTGCTGGCCACCAGTAAAATACACCTCACTGGTAGGCTGAGTTCTCCCACCATGCCCTCCCAAAGTTCAGGATGCTTCTTAAAACGTGCCCTGATCCCTACAGAATATTTGCTCCTCTTGATTATTTATATCACTATACTCTGCCACCTGAAATAGTATTAATTCATTTAGGGCAAAAAGGTCTCTTTTGAACTCCTTTAAAATTTTCCCTACAACCTTTAGAACGATTCTTCTGAACGTTTATTCTAAGTAAACATTGTTAATTGAAGATATAAACGTGTAAGACAGGTTATTTCAAATCAAAGTAACAGTCATACTTTTGAATGTTTTTAACTGTTTAAAATGTCAAAAAGTGGTAAAACTAGGGACTGCTCTATAGTTTGTCGACATGACTGCACTAATCAATTTGTCATTTTTAGCCTTGACAAAATTTTTATGTATTTTATGCAAACCTGGGCATTTGGAGAGGGTGCCTACTTTTCTGTGATTTTGGCTTCTATGTAACCTAAACTACTAGCTAAGGGATAGGGCTTGTTATAATCAGGACAGAGTTTCAAAGTACGGCTTACCCTTTGAACAATGTGAGCATGAATACAGCCCTCAGGAAAGCAGGAAATGGGGCGGGGCATGAGTATGGGGCGATAGGCAGAGCAGAGGGTCAGTAGTGCTGGTGGTGGGTTGTAACTGCAGCCTTCATTCCCACTTGTAAACCTACCCTTTGGAGCCAGGCTACCTGGGCTAAACCCTGGCCTGGTTACTTACAAGCGGTATGATTTTGAACAAATCACTCAGGCCTCTCAGCGCTTCAATTTCCTCATCTGTCAGGTAGGATGAAGATCAGACAGGACTGCTGTGACAATTATATGAGTTAATATATGTAAAATGCTTAAAATACTCTCTGGCACTTGGTCACATAGTATCCGTTGATGCTTTTATTGCCACTGGAATAGTATGGTTTTTGCTATATAGGTGAGCATAAAATAACTTGAATATTTAATTGCATCTGACTCAGTGAACCCAAAAAGACTCATCCTCCTTCTAATCATTTTTTACCGAAGCAAGCACATGTTGAAGAGTATAAAGCAAGCTGGCATTGGTTATAGAGAGTGAATGAGTCTGTAGTAGCACAGATTTTTCAATTAGAAGGAAATTTAGATATTACCTTGCCTAACTCGTTCATCTAACAGAGAAGTGCAAACCCAAATACTGCATTGTGTTATTAAAGCGCCATTGGAGACCTGAGAGTAGAGACAAAATCCCTTTATGCCTCTTTGTTTTCTCTACTGAGAGGCAGCACCATGCATCTGAAAGTGTCCAAAAACACTTCACCAAGGCTTATTTTCCTCAACCATAAAATTATGTGTATAACAACATGACAATTCATCCTGGGGCTCACTGTAGAAATTAGAGATAGCGTATGTAAAGTAACTAGCCCTATGTATTATACACATATACACACACATATATGGGATATATATAAATATATACATATATCTACATATCTATATAGTACATTGTAGACAATAAAAAAATGATGATCATCATAGTAATGACATGCTACCTCCCCAAATTCCATGTAATATATAAATACACTTTACAGCTTCTTCCTTTGCCATATTTGTAAACATAGAATACATGAAAATAAAAAAATGGATTTACTATTAATCTATATCTATACCACACACATAGACACACACACACACACACACACACACACCCTCCACTGTATTATACTATGTTTATAAGACACCTTACTCTTTCCTTGAACACTAATACAGCTAATATATCTAGCCTTCCTAATAGCATTAAAATTATGGCATTTCCCATTCTGTAGAAATAAACAGACTAAATTTTTAATCATGCTGCTAATGTTGGCATTTTTCTACCCATGTGATTATTATCAATAGTCACCAAAATATGCACATTATGGTTTCAATGAGCTACTAAAACTGATTGCTTCTCCTCCATTTGTCATTTTGAATGATGTCCCTTAACTTGCCACGTTTTGCATTTCAAAAAAATGTGAAGTCTCAGCTTAATTCTCTCTGAGATAACTTATTACCCTCTCTGCTTCTCTTTCACAGCATTTTGTACATTAATCGTTATTTAATTATTCGAAATTAATCATTGAATGTTGACCTTCAGTACTATTCTCATATCTATGAAGGGAGTGAGTACAGTATTCCTAGCATACTGACACTTAATAGGTATTTCATAAATATGTTCATAAATATAATAGGTTCCCAAAATGTAATTGAATATAGAGATTGGTATTTCAGCAGATAGATCTAAGGTAGCAGCAAAGATTTGAGAGTGAGTTCCCACTACTAAAAGTTTGCTTGTATTAATCTAAAACCAGGACTCAGACGACACTTCTATACACTAACTATGCTACTAACTCACAAGACTAACAGCCTCTGCCCTTCACTAGACAACACTCCTAGGTTTTGCCTTTGAATCCTGTGTGCCCTGCACGGTGACTGTGCATAGCAGTTGTTTGGTAAACTCTTGTTAAATGACTAGATTTGTTTTCAAGGATTAGCAACAAGACAATTTCTCATGAAGCTGTACAAGACACGTAATAATACAAAAAGATAAAAAATACGGCTGGGAATGAGACAAAATTCTGTTATTCTTGACATAAATCATACAGCTTAGTAATTGTGCGATTAAGCAATGACTCATTGCCTAAAAAGAATTACTAACTACAGAACATCCTGTACCAAACAAGGTATGGGCTTGGGGAGGTACAATTTATATATGATTTAAAGAATGTCATTAAACTAGTGTCACAAACATACGTAAATGTCAAGTGAACTGACAGCAGTGCTTCATGTCCTTTTGCAAACTGCCAAGGGAACTTTAAACTAAGTTAAGAAATGAAAGAAATATGGACAAATGGAAAAATGAAAGTTGCTTGCATGTTAGCTTAAACTATTTAAAGAACAGCATTTCTAAGTGGAGTTTCGAGAATGATTAAAACAAAAATCTGAAACTGACCTAGTTTGTACACCCTGTTGCAATGAAATGATGCTTGTGTATTACCAATCACTAGGAAATCATTGTATTTAACACTGATGTTGCTAACAGTCATTGACATGTGTGTAAGTAGTATGACTAAATTGACCAAAGGACAACAAATAATGCTTTCCTCTTTTTTTAATTTTTAAATGTTCTATTTAGTTTTGAGAGAGAGAGAGAGGGAGAGAGAGAGAGAGAGAGAGAGAGCGCACGCAAGTGGGGGAGGGGCAGAGAGAGAGGGAGACATAATAATCCAAAGCAGGCTCCAGACGCTGAGCTGTCAGCGCAGAGTCCGACGCGGGGCTCAAACCCACAAACCGTGAGATCATGACCTCAGCCGAAGTCAGGTGTGTAACTGACTGAGCCACCCAGGCGCCCCAATGCTTTCCTCTTAATGCACAGTGGCACTTGTAGATTTACTGAGCTTTTTGTTTTGTTTTATTTTTTTTTTTCAAAGTGTCCTCCTCAGTCCTCTATTGCTGCCCACTAGGTAAGTTCCACTGTTGACATGTGCATCTCAGAATGCTAAGACTGAATATTAGTTGTTATAGCTGCTCACAGTAACCAGGCTCTAGCTCACTACTAACATCTGTTTGATGTTCACATTTACTCTGACGAGAAAGAATGTTACATAAAATACAAATGTTTTGGGACACGGTTGATAAATATATAATTTCAGAGGCACCACATTTCCCATTGTCTGATTCCTATAGTTGACTCCTTATAATCCGTCAATAAACTGTAATTTCTAAACACTATGCACTGTGTTGTGTGAGAAAATAGAATAAAGCCACAATCAATGTTATTAAGGAGCTAGCCATCTAAACTAGGTAAATACAGCAATCACATATGAAACAATTTAGTAATGCAAAATACTTTAGGATATTATAAATGATAAATGTTGTGATATATATTTTAAATGTTGAAGATGGTTCAAGAAATAAAGGATAATAATAATCGCACAATTATTTACTGGGCATTAATCTTGCACTATGTACTTTACATGTATGATGTTATTAAACTCTCATGATAAGCCTTTTCAGTAGGTTCTCTCATCACCCCCAGTTTGTAAATGTGGATCCTTGAGACCATGTCCTTGAGATTCCTGAGCTCAGTCAGAATGAGACACATACATGGGAAATATGGCTTGAGTTTGACTTTGAACAGTGGGTAGTAAAAAAGGAGATTCTCATGAGTGCACTTGAGTTACTGAATTCAAGAGGAACCTTCAATTTTTTATTTATTTTTTAATCATCTTTTTATTAAAGACTCTAAGTAGAGCAAATAGCTCTTTAATTTTGTAAATATCTCTGTAAAAGGGGCGCTTGGGTGGCTCAGTCAGTTAAACATCTGGGTATTGGTCTCATCTCGGGTCAAGATCTCCTGGCTCGTGGGATCGAGCCCCATCAGTCCAGCAGAGCTGCACTGACAGCACAGAGCCTGCATGGGATTCTCCCTCTCTCTCTCTCTGCCCCTCCCTCCCTCGCTCTTGCTCTCTCAAAATAAATAAATTAAAAAACATATTTTAAAAATATCCTTGTAAGAATCTATGAAAAGTCCATGAAGAATAGTTATGGTGAAAAGGAAACAGACAACGAAATTGAGTAGATGGGAATGGAAAGGTATGCTGCAGTCTGAAAACAGAAATCATTATCGTGTGAAGGGAGACAATGCCCTGCTACAGAATTGCCACTATCTAAACTTGAACTAATTTAGCTTCTTCATTAAATGTGGTTCACTGCTCTTCTCTATTCTAGTGAATGATGCCACCACCATCTCATCCTCCATTTCTGTCACTCAACATTTCTAATCCATCGTTAAAGCTTTAGGCTTAAAAGTATGGGTTTTGTTGGCCCAGCCCTGCAACCTACCAGATAAATGATTTGGGGAAGATCACTTGATCTCTATCAATTTCCTTATTGGTAAAACATGGATTCCAACAGGACACATCTTGTAAGTTTTTAAAATTAAGTTATATATACAATGTCTGTAAAAGTTCTTGTCACTGACATGTAAAAACCATTCAGAATATTTTGCCATTGTTATTTATTCATAGAAATATGCACAAAAGATTATTGGGCTGATCATTTTATGCGTGTGTATAATATATACATTCTAATGACTATTATTCATAAGTATATCATAAATTAAATAGTACAAAACAGAGTTTTAATAAAAGAGAACAAGTTTTACATTCAGATGCAGCTGAATTCGTCTAAATATTGGTTTACCTTTTTTTTTTTTAATTTTTTTTCAACGTTTATTTATTTTTGGGACAGAGAGAGACAGAGCATGAACGGGGGAGGGGCAGAGAGAGAGGGAGACACAGAACCGGAAACAGGCTCCAGGCTCTGAGCCGTCAGCCCAGAGCCTGACGCGGGGCTCGAACTCACGGACCGCGAGATTGTGACCTGGCTGTAGTCGGACGCTTAACCGACTGCGCCACCCAGGCGCCCCTTGGTTTACCATTTCTTGACTACATCACCTAACAATTGCAAGCCTCAGTTTCTTCATTTTTAAAATAGTTATCATGATCTTGAAATTAAGTAACACATGTAAAGCCTATCACATAGTACCTGACACAATTTAAAAGCCAAAGTAATTTTAGTCATTGTATCATTGGATTTTTTTCACAAGATACCACATATACTCATAAATGCATACTTTCTAACTGAACAATGACCACAGGATATATTTTCAAATGAGTTTTTAAAATATGATTTTGAGAAATCTTCTCCTTTTATAGTTATTCTCGAAACCATCCTATTAATCCAAATCACCTGCATCAGTAAGAGAGTAGATACTCTAAGAAGTAGTGAGGATATGAAAGGGTACAACCACAACAGTGAAGATCAACTCAGATACTGGAAGGACAGAATCAAAGGCAGAATTAAGGTAAGAGAAGCATAACAGCTGCTTTGCCTCTTGAGATGCCCAAAGACATATTCAAGCTGCCCATAGCTGCCCTTGGATTCTGCCAATCGGCCTTTTCTCCTTGCTTCATGAATATTCCATAAACCATACGCTTTCCAATTCCCAAAGAATAGAAGTGGTCACCATACACCTCTGCTAGGCCATTAACTGGCCATAGGACACATATAGTGACAATGAATCAAACCACTAGTGACCTTACCCAAAGACAGAATTACCAAATGTCATGTAGTCTCTGAGGGCAATTCCAAATAAGGGGTTTAAGCATATTTTAAACAAAGGCAGCTTCATTCCAATAAGTAAACAGTCACACAAGCTGGAATACATATTTGAATAAGCAAATTTCAGCTGTCTGATTAGAATTTCTACTGAAACTCCAAACCTTATATATTTTTAGAATATTTCCTTCCAATAACATATTTTAAAATGTTACTCTTAAGATATTCTTTCTCCTCCTAAATTTTCTTCCTCTCTCTCTCTCTCTCTCTCTCTGTTCCTCACACTCTCCTTCTCTCAATTTTAATGTTTTCAACCTTCAAAGTTGGACTTGATACTAAAGCCATTCAATGACAACTGACATTGCAATGTCAGCTATGCTCTGGCAGCAATCTGGAGTTAGGAGGATGGGCTAACCCATTAATCACTGTCTTTGGAACACAGATATTCGTCAAGTAAACTGCTGTGGAGATATGGGTTATCATACACAAACAATCACATATTGTAGAGGACCGGAAGCCTACGATGCATACTTTGACCAGATTTCCTTCCCAACCTTTAAATACTATGAATTCTTGACTCTGGGTATGTCATTTGCACACAGGTTGTGGCCCAGCCTGCCAAGAGGAGTTACTGAATCAGAGTGGACTTAGCCAATTGCATGTGCTCAACCAAGCATTTACTGACAATGGCAACTACTCCATCCAAGTGATATATTTAAGGGAACAAATAGAAGATTATTGGTTCTCTTCCCACCTTGGGAAATTCTGCAAAATTACTCAAGTGTTGATAACATTCCATTATAGCACTAGGGCAAGTTCACTTTGCAAAAATGAAAAGAACTATGCCAACTCATCACAAATAGAAAAAATATGTATATAAAATATGTCTCCAAATCCAGAATCTCTGGACTTGAGCAATCCTGGGGTTGGGGGAAGTTAGCAGCTACATGGGAGAGTCAGAATGATTTACGCTTTCAACATTATTAGAAAATCATTAGTAGAAATATCTTGTTTCAATACTTAAAATTAACCACTAGTGATATAAAGATATATATAGCTTCCAAAGTACATGAAAAAATAAACACTAAGAAATTTTGTGAGAAAGATATATAACAAAAGCTAATATTAAGAAAGAATTCAAAAAATATAAAAATCAGACCAAATAGAATTCAAGGGAAAAGGTATTATATGGGACCAAAAAAAGGTTATTTTACAATTAAATATATATACGGATACGAAAATAGAGCAGATATGAATCTTTACATGTTGAATATCAGGGTATCAAAGTGTATAAAACAAAAAAAGTTAAAAGGCAAAAAAAAAAATTTGACACAGGCTCATATTAGTGGGAGAATTTTTTGTGTCTTTCTTGGTATTTGAAAAATCAAGAAGACAAGAGGTGATTTGTTAGACAAATGAAACAATAATGTTTTAAGTAAAATTGATTTAATAACTAAAAATCAACTTCTTTCAAATTGCCATCAAACATTTATAAGTTTTTAACATAAGACAGAACACAATGGAAGTATGATAACATTTACATTTATACAGGTAACATTTCTGAACACAATGTGATACAACTAGAAATGGACAGTGGAGCTAAATAAATAAACCAATTCCACTTTGGAAATTTTATCTTCCAAATATCATAGAGAAAAACAATCGTGTAATTGTAGAATATTTTGCAAATAATTATGGTAATAGATATCAAAAGTTATTAACTATGGATAAGGGTGTATGCAATATAGCTCATGGCAATAAAGGAAACTATTATTAAAGAAGAAACAGTGAAAACAAATTACTAAGAATTAACAAAAAAACTAGAAAAGAGTAACAAAATTAACCTACAAAAAGATGGAAATAAAATAAATCATGAATCAACAATTAGAACACAGAAACAGTTAAATAAATGAATACATACATACATAAACAAATATCCAAGACTTAACTTTTTTTTGAAAGAAATAGTAAATAGAATTTTTCTACCAAGGCCTACAAGAGAGCAAAACAACTAAAATCACAATAAAAGTCAGAGAGGGCATAAATCTACTCGTGGGTAATGGGAAAGGGCTAAAACGGCAGATAATCAGTTTTTTTTTAACTGAATACAGTGTACAAAATCCATTCTAATGATTTTGAAAAATTTTCGAAACGGTTTACTCTAGAGGAAAATGTAAATTAAGTCAATTCAAATGGACTTAATGGAAAGGGCAATAATTTTCCTACCTGCTCACGTGTTATTCTTAGAGAACCAGTGCCTGGAGCTCGTAGGAGCTATAGGTTGTTGACACTTCACCAGTTAATCCCTGCTAGAGCGAGCATGGAACCTGATTTGTTCTACCGCTGTGTCCGCGGAGGACTTCCCCGACCACCTGCATGCCACCACCCCCCCCCCCCACGCACCTTCCCGCAGAAGACTTCCCCCGACCACTTGTATTCTGAATGGCACCCCAGCCCTCTCACAATGCAGCAGCGCTTCCTTCCTCTTAGGTGCTTCTGCACTATCACAGCACTGTCGGCATCTAACATGCGCATGTTTTTTAAAGTTTTAACATTTATTCATTTTTGAGAGACAGAGAAGGACAAAGAGTGAACAGGGGAAGGGCAGGGAGAGAGGGAGGCAGAATCCGAAGCAGGCTCTAGGCTCTGAGCTGTCAGCACAGAGCCCAGAGGCAGGGCTTGAACTCATGGACCGCAAGAGAACTGAGAGAGATTGTGACCTAGGCAGAAGTCTGATGCTTAACCAACTGAGCCACCCAGGTGCCCCTATTTATGCAGATGATTTTAAACCATCTGTCTCCCTCTCCTCATTCTACACACTTAAATGTAAGCTCCATAGAGCGGGATATTTGTTTAGGAGGGGGGTTACGTACACTGTTGATTCTCAGACTAAAACAGAGTCTGTCACGTGGTTGGCAATGAATGTGTATTTGCTGGAGTTAGAAAATGAAGGAATTAATGAATGATTTAACAAATACAGGGAATAAGTTATTATCTACACACAATAAAGTCAATCATTATATATACTGTGATTTGGGCAAAAGAGTTTTAAACCATTACTTGTGGTTGAATTTTTTATTGCAGAATCACTAATGTGCTCAATGTAAATTACAGTAGCTCTTAGGTTTTTACATCCTTTTAGGTCTGTTCCCTTAGCATAAGAATTCTCAGTCTTTGGTGTACATCGACTACAACTATGGGTGTTTTGTTTATTGGTTTTATTTTCTCGTTTAATACAAGGGCACAGGCCCCATCCAGCCCCATGGGATAGTGCTAATGTGGGATCATGTTAAGAACCGCTGCTTTATTTTGTTCAATGAACTCTACCAAAATGCTTTGTCAACCCACTTAAAGATATCCATAGGTTCCTCTTAAGAGTATACCTAAGATTCAGGGGCGCCTGGGTGGCACAGTCGGTTAAGCGTCCGACTTCAGCCAGGTCACGATCTCACGGTCCGGGAGTTCGAGCCACGCGTCGGGCTCTGGGCTGATGGCTCAGAGCCTGGAGCCTATTTCCGATTCTGTGTCTCCCTCTCTCTGCCCCTCCCCCGTTCATGCTCTGTCTCTCTCTGTCCCAAAAATAAATAAAAACGTTGAAAAAAAAATTAATAAAAGAGTATACCTAAGATTTTGCCTGTCAAAAATCTTTTAATTCTGGCAGCAAGTTACAAACAACTAGCTCCACGTAAATCTAGCTCGTCCAAATCTGTTTAATTTTTAGGCCACTAATCACCGTGTTAAAGTTGAAATTTACAATTATCCTTTTATATTTTTCCAGACTTTAAATAACTCACAAATTGTTATTGGGATTTTCAAATTCTCAGTTTTTCCCCTGGCAATACAAATCTGCCCAAAAAGTTGAAATCTTAAACTGAAGGAGATTAAGTCAAATACCTGTAGAGATGTTTCAGGATGCTTTTCTCTCAGCACTGGAGCAGCCGGGATCTCCTGGGGGGCTTTTGATGACTTCCTTTTGGCTTTTTCCATTTGAATATTGGTAAAATAATTGACAGCAGCAAACTCAATAAGTGCGGAAAATACGAAAGCAAAGCAGACAGCTATAAACCAATCCATGGCAGTAGCATAGGACACTTTGGGCAAAGAATGCCGGGCACTGATGCTCAGTGTGGTCATGGTGAGGACTGTGGTTATCCCTTCAAAAGCAAAAGAGCAAAGAGACAAAATACTTTACCATTACTTCTATGAAACCAAACCAACAAACCAACAAACCTAGGGATTTGGTGGGGTAGGGGTTACAAATTTTTCAATATCTCAAACCAAACCATCTTTAGTGGAAGATTTGAATCCTAGTGGTTCAGTGAAATTAGCACAGGTATTTTTGTTAATTTTTTAAATGTTTTGTTTATTTTTTGAGAGACAGAGCGTGGGCAGGGAAGGGGCAGAGAGAGGGAGACACAGAATCTGAAGCAGGCTCCAGGCTCTGAGCTGTCAGCACAGAGCCCGATGTGGGGCTTGAACTCACGAACGGTGAGATCATGACCTGAGCCAAAGTCGGATGGTTAAACAACTAAGCCACCCAGGCGCTCCAGCACAGGTTTTTGAGTAAGACACAGATATAACTAAAATCCTGCCTCTATATTAATCATTGGCTCAGTGCCACCTGGATTAAGTAAGGAAAACTCACTGGGCTTCATTTGATACTTACCTTTTGGGGTTGCTATAAAGATTACAAATATATAAGGCACCTGTCATATATTGGATTGGTATTAGTATCTGAGCCAACATACCTGAGAAAGTCAACACATCCATCTAACAGGATGTGTGACTTATTGAAGTGCTTATTCTCAACCAGAAGTGAGAAGTTGATAGCATTGTAATTTGGACCATCAAAATTTCTGGGATAGGTATGGCCCATTGCTATTGAGAATCATTACCAGAAAAAGCATGAATTATAGATATTTACAATCCTTAAGTGAATATTACCTATTGAATTAAGATAATAATAAAATAATAATAATCTAGTTGTGAAAGAGCTTAATTTATAAAAGGCAGTACATGTAGATTTCTGAAAAAATTGATTTCTAGAATAATTTTGTTTTAAATATTGGACATCTACCATGCATCAGTTCGTGGTAGGCAGGAAAATCTTTGCAACAGGAATAGAAGTACTTCTCTTTCATCAACAGGCTTCCAAAGCATATCATTTCCAGGGAAGCCTTCTCCTCAACCTAAAAAAAAGGTTAGTCCCCATTCTCAGTATAAAAATTCCACTTGCCACGAGAACTATAGAGAAATGCATTATTTAAAGATGCTAATAGTTGACTCTCTGCATCTTTGTCTATCTGTATATTTAATCTATGTTATCTAGTTAAGCTTGGAAATTTCTGTGAGAATTTACTATATCCATTTAAACTCATTCTATATAATGCTCAGGATAGCTCATGAATTGACACACCCAGATGTCGGGGGATGAGGAGGAGGAAGATAGTGATGATGATGATGATGATGATGATGATGATGATGATAATGATGATGATGATGGAGACACCTAAACTATATATTCCAATCCATGTCAGTCCTTAGTTGAAAGCCAAACAATACATGTCAAACTGAAGAAAAAGTGAGCCCCATGCAGTAAAGGAATAATAATATTTGAGCTTAGGGAGAAATTATATTGTCTCCTCAACTCAGCATTTAATTATATTCTTCCTTGTTCCCTAATGATTCCATGTATGTAAGCCTGTTTCCACAACTTGATTTAGTGTAGCCTCCTTGAGGGCATAAATGTCTAACATTTCTTCAGGACAGACCATACCTCATATAGTGCTGGATACATGATGAATGCATAAGAAATAAAAACTCATTTTTTCACCTCCTCACCAACCCATTTTTTTCTCTAGTCCCCTCTTAATTGTCAATTTTAGAACATAAAAAAGTTAAAGCTACTTGCAGTATATAAACTATAGATCTTTTAAAAAGATTCCATAAACAGAGAAAGAAATTTGAGGATTTGGTTGTATTCCCTTTTAAAAAAATAATGGTGATTTTTTTTTTTAGGGTTTTATTTGTCTAAAACAGATTTTAAAATGTATGCTTGGTGAAATAAGGAGATATGAAAATAGCTAGAAAATGGAGTATTGGGAATTTATTGGACTTCATTTCAGAAAGAGACCTTAGAACTTTTAGGCCTCCATTTTGAATCTCAGAAAAAATGGCAGCTTTCCCATGCTGCCTATGAAATGTAAATTAATTTTAAAAATTTTAGCTACATAGTTTGAAAATAAATCAAAGTTTTTCTTCTTATTCATAAAAATTTAAGTTTAATGGTCTATTAAGAATTCAAAAATGTTCTACAACTTCCTTACTTCCCCTACTATGCTGAAAACTATGCTGAAAACTACTATGCTGAAAAACTATGCTGAAAACACTTGGGAATAAAACATGAACAGTGCAGCCTAAATAAGAATACTACTCAGAACTCAGAAAATTCCACAGAGCATGTGATAACAAAAAAGGAAAACTCAAACCCAACTATAAGCAATTTGGGATTTCCCATGTTGCTTTGAACATTTATTTCTTGTACTAGAACAATTTCTCCCTCAGACCTCAAGTAATGGTCTTCTCCTGCTATCATAGAAAGAAATTCCTTTGTTAATGTAAGTAGGATATTAATGCAATTATTGAGCCATGAACCCCAAAATTACTTTCTGATCATTAAGGAGGGTAAATCCCCAGTTTCATGAAGATGTTAAATTATGCTAGGGACATAAGTGCAAAAAATCCTGGATATGTGGCCACTTTCCATTCCTTTTTCACTGACTTGAGTCAATTTAGTTTTAAGTTTGTAGAATAACCATTGAAGGGTATATGATACTATGGTTCATCTTTCCTGACTATTGGCAAAGCTAGGAAAGGTAGCCTGCATAAACAATTGGCTAAGTGTTTGAAGTTGCCATCCTTTTCTTTAGACATTAAAAAGTTCTGTCTGCCTGGTGATCAAATTTAAAGAAAGCACTAGCATGACAGGAATGTGCTTATTACAGCTGTTTTTAGACAGAGCATTTGGTTCAATAAATACTAAAAGAATTGCAAACAGAAGCCAACCCTTTGGATAAGAAGCCATGCTTCCTCTGCATCTAGGAAGACATTGCATCTGCTCTAAATGGCTTTGCTGGCATCTACCCTCAAAACACTTCAACAACCACAGGATTTTTTTTTGACACATTCAAGTATTGATGCCAGTACCTGCTTTTATAATGCTGAATATGTACCATATTGGCTGGCCCGGGAGCTGGGAGAGGACGTGGAAGAGTGGGCTAAGACTGTGCACAAGAGTAAATTTTTGGCCGGCCACTCCAAGAAAATGAACTAGTAATGATTTAGACATGCCAGCTGGCATTTACTCTGGTTTAACATTTTACTATACTGGAATAATTAGAAGACTTAAAGGCATGCAACTTTGCAGATAGAAGGCCTTTGGAGAGAATGTAGAACACTCTGCTTCTCATAGTTACACTAATTTTTTTGAAGGGGGAGTCTGTTTTTGCATGATTTCCAGTGATATCTCTGACCCAGAAAATTCTCTCCCTGAATGAAGAGGGAAATGAAAATTAGGGGAAAAAATATTAATCCAGAATGAATTTTTTACTTGAATCTCATATGAAATAGATTGCCAATGATCCCCCAAACACTTTAAACTTAACTTCCTTAGGAAAATACCTCAATGAACAATTTAATAACTACCATCCTGACACATCTTAGACATTTCAAGACTTCATTATTGTGCATAATTTCCCTGGTCAATCAAAACCAACATCTCGGCACATAAACTCAAGACAGGCAAATGTCACAGTTCAAATGGAAAAAGCTACCCACAAATTATCTTCAGCACACATCCATACAATCTCACTCAGTAGCTCTGGAATACTCCACAAGTGCCCACATCATACTTCCTGTGAAGACAGAATGACAGAGTAGAAATGGCAGAGTCCTCAACGTTAGACAGAAACTGTCCTGGGTCCATCACTTATAAGTAGGTGACTTGATACAAGTTTCTTGATTTCTCTGGGTACTTTTGCTTCTCCATGAAAAATTAATAACACCTACCTTGCTGAGCTATTGTGAAGGTTACACAAGATGGCACATCTTATCCTTACTACATGCTACTTAATTTCCTCACAGTGTCTGCGTTATCAAGAAATCTGTAGGAAATGTTGGGTGGCTACAGCTGTAATCAATGTTATCCTTCTCCGCACCGCTGGCGATTTCCATTATTTGGGGACAAGTGAGACAGTGGCTACCAGTTTGTGTTGAACCGAAAAAGCACCCAAAGCTTATCAAGCAATCACAATAAACATAAACTACAGAGAAGCTTTAATTATAGTATCAAGTGGTGGTCTCAGATGAGGTAGGTGGCAGGGTAGACTTATAATAATCAACATTGAAATAAAATGCATTGTGTGATAGGCATTCCTTCAAGTGCTTTATCCAAATTAATTTATTTAATCCTCATAGCAACCCTGTGAAGTAGGTACAACCGTGTATCCTGTTGTAACACATGTGGAAAAGAGCAGAAGCAACTCACTGATGGTTTGTCAGCAAATCAGTGGCAGACCTAGTGGTTAGAACCTTGGCTGCAGCATCTGTATTAAGATACTATTATACCTTCATCAGATGCACAAATGATGGGTCAGTATTTTCTGTTCTAGGTGTTCTTTAAGACCACAGAGAAAAGATGACAAAAATAAGTGATTTTACTTTTATTACCAATGAAATAGTTCCTGAAATATTGATATTATTGGTGCCAGGGAAAGTTACAGAACTTTGGTCTGATGCTCAGCCTCAGCAGGTACTTCCCTCCCAGTCAGGCTGACTCAACATGACATGGAAACACCCAAGATTAGTATGGGCACTAAATGAGATAATGAGCATAAAGGACTTAGCAGAGTGCCTGGAATTACACAACAGAACAATATATGTCCTCTTGAAAAAGCAACTAAAAATCAAGGAAATCAAGTCACAACAAAGTAAATCTCCTCTCTGTCAGAGAAGTATGAGAGAGAGTAACTAATATGTACTAAGTGCACCATATGCCCTGTGATGAGGACCGCACATAAATCCACATCCTCACTAGTCTATGAAAGAGAGATGTATTAGCATGGATATGTATATGGATGGAGAAAATAAGTGCCAGATTCCAGTTTCAAACCCCAATCTGTTATGGTGCGAAGCTTAGATTTGTTATTTTCTGTTTCATTTTTACATACGTTTTTAATGGGTAAAATTTATTCAACACTTGCAACATGGATTTATTCTTTAACTGAACCTTTGCAACTCTATGAAGAAGGCAGTGCCATGATACCTGCTCACTACCCTCCTGGGGTCATACCCTGCCCCCAGGATTGACCTTATGCAGTGGTTTCCCCAGTAGGGTTCTTGAGTAAACCTAAGACTAAAGGAGGGTGGGTGCAGTGTCTATGGAAAATGTCCTCACATTCACGTGCACTGAGGACACTAAGACACCTTATGAGTTCTCTATAAGGATGGGGAGGTGAGATGAGAAGCTCCTACTTCCCCCAGTTTCTTCTCACCAGCATTCATCCCCTCAGCTCGTGTATGATAAGGAATATTCTCCCGTGGCTTTAATCCTAGTAACTAGAAAAGGCAAAGGGAGATTGACATCTCTTGTGAGGACTATACCTCCAGTCCAGAGCAACTGGGAACATTTTCTTTCTTATCCTGCTACTGAATGCTTGTGCTACTCACAATCAATATAAAAAGAATAGAGAAATTTGTTAAGTTACATAAATACCATTATAACTAATTATATTATTTATTTATTTTTTTTCAACGTTTTTATTTATTTATGGGACAGACAGAGACAGAGCATGAATGGGGGAGGGGCAGAGAGAGAGGGAGACACAGAATCGGAAACAGGCTCTAGGCTCTGAGCCATCAGCCCAGAGCCTGACGCGGGGCTCGAACTCACGGACCATGAGATCGTGACCTGGCTGAAGTCGGACGCTTAACCGACTGCGCCACCCAGGCGCCCCTAATTATGTTATTTAAAAGCATGACTGATATGTAGAAGACTTATGAAGAGCTATAAAATTTAAAACTGATGTGTTCTGGACCTCATATAGCTTAGAATATGATATATAGAAAGCCACTATAAAAATGAAAAGAAGAAAATATGGTGTGTTCAGAAAAAAAGGATTTAACTAGAATATAACAATAAGCTAATAAACTAGGTGTATAATGCCATCCAACTCAATGCATTTAAACCACTTGCATTTTGTTCCTCTTCATTAAAACGCAGATTTTTCTAAGGCTTTCATATTTATTCGGCCATGACTTTTATTTGTTTTATTGTAAGTTCCCAGTGCATTTCATTTTAACACCTAGATATGATTTTAATTCAATTACACAACATTAAGGTAGGAGCCCAAGAATGTCACCAAAAGTGAAATCATATCCAGTTTCACACTTGGTCTTCATCTGCCGGGTCTTAATAAGAGAAATCTGATGGGGCCCCAAAGGAAGGGATAGACTGTCCATATCCCCTCAAGCCTTATTCGTCTTGGCTGGGAAAAATGGAAAGCTTATGTGATTCTTTTATGAATACAGCTTGATATATTACCGTTTAATATTTTCTTAGAAAAAAAATTATGTCTACGAGCTATTCCCATGAATCGTGATCAAAATATAATGTGAACAAAAAATACCCAAGAAAATGAATCTCAATTACCAAACACAGTCCTAGCTGGAACTGACTCCTTGTTTATCCAGAATGAAACTTGAGAAAGAATCACTGTCATAATACACGGAATATATGTCTGAATCATAAAGTAACCCATCTTCCGTCTCAGGTGGAAGTAAACTGTCATAACAATATATTCACCTACAAATAAAACATGAGGAAAATGTATTATTGGTTATGCAGGCAATTAGTCAATTAACTTCATAATCATATTTCAGCCTAAAAAGAGCATTTTAGACAAAGAATTATCTGTTGTGCATAGCAAGCAAACTGAGAAATATATAGTTCCTAACTATGGGGAAAATGACCCTGAACACAATTATTGTTCTATACAGTGATGAAGCCATTTAATACATTAAGCTATAACTTTTAAAAAAATTCTTGCAGCGCTGTCTGTATTAAAGGTCCAGTACTGCAAAAGCAATTACCATTCAATTTCAGCATTTTCTAAGAGCAGAATTTAGACCGAACTTTTATGGAAAGTCAGTAGGAAAAAAAATGGAAACACACACACATTTGAAAATACTGCCTTAGTTTTCAGAAACAGCTATATTTCTAAATGTTACATATATATAAAGAAAAATACAAAGAGAAACATATAACATAGAACCATAGTTAACATCCCTGAGTTCAGGTATATTTTATGGGCATTTAGACAAGCTAATAAGGGAAACAAACTAAGATTTCTAATGGCTGTTGATAAGTACTTTTTAATATTACATCTGAAAGCAACAATTAAGAAAGTTACTTAGGAAGCGGTAGACTTATTCTCAGACTCTGAAGCCCAGGATTCAGAAGACTCAAATCCCAGAATCTGTTTTCAGTCCCACTTGCAGGCTCGAGAATGAATGCCAAGTAGCATATTGATTTTAATTATTAAACATCTCACCCGTAATGGACTTGATAGTTTCACTTGACACAGTTTGCCCAATCAAGTCATATTGGACTAAGCTGGAAGACTCCTTTGGAACTTCCACTGATTTCTCAGGACCTTTTGTCCATGTATAAATCATCTCACTCTTCGGATATGCATCTGAATGAGAGCCCAGAATGTGATTAAAGTCAGTGGTCCTTTCCCATCAGCACTGATGGTCAACATTTAAGAATATTACACATGTTCAAGAAAGATGATATAAAAGTAAACAATAATCATGATTTATTAAAACACGTTTAAGACTTAGAAAACTGTAGAGATTAAATAAACAGTCTTGCAACTCAGCATGTTTCTTGCTTTTATGTTGAGAATTGGAGGAGAGGGGCGCCTGGGTGGCGCGGTCGGTTAAGCGTCCGACTTCAGCCAGGTCACGATCTCTCAGTCCGTGAGTTCGAGCCCCGCATCAGGCTCTGGGCTGATGGCTCAGAGCCTGGAGCCTGTTTCCGATTCTGTGTCTCCCTCTCTCTCTGCCCCTCCCCCGTTCATGCTCTGTCTCTCTCTGTCTCAAAAATAAATAAACGTTAAAAAAAAAAAAGAGAGAGAGAATTGGAGAAGAGATTAAAATTGGAGGAGGGGCACTTGGATGCGTTTCCATACTAATAGGAGAAGCAGTTGAAAAGCGGAAATAATACCCCTCCCCCCAAAAAGTACTTCTTTCCATTCTCACTCACTTCCAGGGCTTGACCAACACTGACTCCTTCCATCCTACGGCAACTCTGCCAATTAGAAATGTACCAGATGCCGCCTATAATAATACAACAAAAACAAAAACAAACCCTACTGTTGGGAGAGCTCTCCGGGGGTCACCTATTCCACACTGCCTCTGGGCAGTCCCCGTGCCTTCTGGGAACAATTTGGCAGTGACAACTGGCTCTGCTCTTTGTGGAGCTCTCCAGGGAATATAATTACACAACCAGTTCCACTACCTTTAAACTCTTACAATCAGGACATTTTCCTTTCCATCTTCAACAAATCCCTCCCAGAGGCAATTTAAGCCCATTTCCTATTATTTGGTGTTCAACTCAAATGGAAACCAGCTGCTTGCTGACCAGTCTACCCACAACAGATAGCTTGGCTCACTCACAAATAAGTTCAAAAGAACCAAGATGAATCGGTTCCCTCCACAAACCTTCCTAAAGTGACTACAGCACAGTAGGTCCTCAGTGAAAGCTTAATTCTACAAGAGTTGATACCTAGGGAGATTATTTTTACAAACAGCTTCTCAAAACAAACTGGGAGGCTTGTGTTGTCATTTAGCAGTATAGAGTCATGTGTCAACATTTCTCTCCTAAAGTATATTCATGCTTCATCATACATTTAAAAGACCCTGAATGCTATGTTCCTGCCCATGATATTTTAAATCGGGTATTCTTCTCTTGGCTATCCTAATGTGGTAGAATAACCTTTCTCTTAATGATTCGATACTTGAGGCAGGAAGTGGGGGCGTAGGCAAAATGGGTGAAAGCGATAAAAAAATGTCTCTTTCTAATTCCCAACCTAACAAACCAACTCCCAAGGAGTGATTTCTTTATCTAGTACAAACCCTGACTGGTGCCAACTATGTTCAAGTTGCTCTGAAGAGTGCGTCTCGATGGGCAGCAGAGGTGGATGGGTGAGAAAGAACTTCCCATAGATAAGAACGATCTGTAGGGGAATTTAAATTATTACAGTACAAATGGATTTTAATTATGCCCCAGTGAGATCGCCCTTTCTATGTATCTTTTTAATTTTCTCTCTTTAAGTCACTGGTCAGCGAGTAAATGACTCTCTAGCTTTAACCTAGCTCACCAAACACTGTGATTACTAGGGGTTGTCAAAGAATGGTGAATGCCAGTTCTCATGAAGTTACGCACAATGGTAAGAGCAGGCAACAGTTTCACAATCAGTGCACTAAGAATCCAAAGCAATAATAAAAGCCAGCACCTGTTTTTGGTAGATTCTGAGTGAATCAAATATTTGAGGCACACATTAGAAGAAGCAATCTCATTTTTCCACCATCTCAGGTAAAGGGAGCTTGGGGGAAGGGATTCCATATTCTTTACTACCCATTCATTTCACCTTCTTGCCTTCACCTCCACAAAATATTTGCAAATCATCTACTTCATAGCTTCGCCTCTAGTGCCGTCCTTGTCTAAGCCACTGCCATCTTTGATGGTACTAAAGCAATAGCCTCCCACTCTTCTCTGCTTCTACTCTAGTCTCCCTACAATCCATTCTCCATAGAAAAGCTGAAATGAAATTGTAAAATGTTAAAGAATGCCAAATCCCCTAGTAAAATCTTCCAAAGTCTTTCTGTAGCATTTACAATAGAATCTAATCCTTAATGTGGTCTATAAGATGCTACATGATCTGGATCTGTCTACATATCAGACCATATCTCTTATGATGCTTTCATCATGCTTCAGCCACTTTGGTTCTAACAGTGCTGCTTATATTATTTTAACCTGGTCATTTCAAGAAGACCTGAAACCTCTCTGACCTTTTTTCAAATCTGCCATAAAGAATTCTGCTTGTAACAGACGATGTTAAATTACTCCCTCTCCCCCCCACTAAAAATCCTTTGTACTTTCTTTGTTACACCACCAACACATGGAGTTCAGAAGTCTTTAATTTCACCACTGACCACCAACCTATTATTTATGAGTCAGTTTACCCAGGCTATCTGTCCAAACTGATTTTTGGTTTTTGGAAAAGGGGCTGTTTTTACTTCTTTATTTAAATATATTAGGTAAAATAGAGTCTCCTAAAAGTCAAATCTTGGACAGTTATTGTCACGAACAATGATTTATGGATTATGGGAAATTGTGCACACATATAAATATCAGCTTGCGTAAGATATTAATAAATTCTAACAATACTTTTATTGTAACTTACAACTTCCAAATTTCAAAGGGCATGCATGACCATCCATGGGGAAATCCACCAATCTCATGGGACACTCCGCACTTATGGTGAGTCTATGATGGAAAAATGCGATTAAAATTAACTCTCACTTTAAAAATGATTTTTTAGACACCTAAAACGAGAAGGATGAAAAGAAGGAAGGAAGGACAGAAGAAGGGAGAGAGAGAAGGAAGAAAAAATGGAAGAAAGCATAAAAAGGAAAGATGGAAAAAGAAAAAATTTACTACCTCATTGTGTATAAAATAGTGCCATTTCTCATAATTCTAAAAAGCTTGTTTGGAGCTGTCATATTATGTGAAACAGATTTCTTTCCATTCCTGAAGAAAGTATCAGGTGTCCATACTTTTGTTACCATCATATTGTTCAATCTCAAAATTTCAATGGGGCCATCATATTTTAGTCTTTTGTCAATCCACGTCTGTCTGAAGAACACATCCATTGTGTATTCCTAGGGAAATTAGTTTGTGACATTCAAATCACAGATGACTACACATAAATATGCATTAAATTCTAGCCTCTATCCCACTCATAAAAAAAAAACTACCCAAATAAAAACTAAATTAATAGGAGCAGAAATGTTCTTACATCAATGGAGCTAAATGATTCTCAGCAATTAAAGCATGTTGTGTCCATCTTGATGCCTTAATCTTCTACTTCATCAGGTAAATAAATTACCATACACATGAATCATTCAAGACTAATTACTATAATTTAATAAAACTACCAGCACAAAGTAATTACAGTTGTGCTTTAGTCCAGGTAGCAAAATTAGTAAAAGTGTAACAAATATCATTGTATTATTAATCATAAAATTGTAGGCATCTCTAAGACGAGTAAAATATGTAAAAAGCAATTTTATATTCACAAAATTTATTAAAAGTAGCCTAGGAGCCTAAGGCCAAGGAAAAAAGGTGAAGTAGGTCCTTTAACCTTTAAACTACATATATTTAAAATTAGAGGGCACAACTGAATAGATGAATTCATCTTGACCAGTGTTTGGTGTTCTAACCTCTTTAAGCATGAGAAAGAGGCAGGAAGAGAAGGCATGGGGGGATGGGGTGGGGGCAAGTTGTGAGCAGTTGGGCCAACATGGAGTACTAAATGCAGTTAGGACTACAATATAGTTTTATACAAAAACTAATTACACTCTTCAATTTTCTCCACTTCAATAATTTTCTAAGGAAAAAAAATCACTACATAAAAGGTTGTACCACTGACACAAGTAATAGTAAGGTTTTTTTTTTCTTTGTTGAGAATAACTCCAAACCAAAAAATACTCAAATATTAGAGCTGAAATGTAAATTCAATGTCTTATCCTTATAAACCTTTAAGTCTAATTAGGAGGCTCTTTGACTTTCTAGCTGTGTGCGATTAACAAGATAAATATCATTTGCCCTCTCTTCTGCATGTTTTCTTCAAAAGACAAAAAGTACATGAAGTTTCCTAAATACCTACCATTTCCACATCAGAAACAGGTCCAAAGCTGGTGACGTATATGTCAGTTTTTACTTCTGTAACAGGACCTAGTAGGTATGAAGTAAATAGGAGTGAAAAAAAAATACCAATATTACAGGCAAGGAGAATAGAGCAAATACAGATATATCATGTTTTTACTGGCATCTTAAATATTTAGTGAGATAATGCACCTCTACAAAAAAAAAAAAAATGTAGACAAAAGAATAACAGAACCAGAAAGCAGTGTTTATTTACAGGCAAAAAAAAAAAAAAAAATTACTTAGGGTAACATTGTTTCTTAAAGAAATACATCACCTACCAGGCACTACTGTGAAAGGCAGTGCAAGGAACAAAAACTCTTAGCCTTTGTAATTTTTTATAGTCCGTCATCTGATTGGCCCTTAGTAAAGAAGCGAGCTGTTAAAAAGAGGGAACTTAGCCACAAGAGTGAGGAGGAGAAAAACCATAATGGTCGTCTTTGGAAAGCTGAGGATTCTACTTAAATAAGAGCACAAAAATGATTCATGGCACCTTTAACAGTAGGCACACCATCCACCGGTAACTGAGATTAAAGACAAACTCTCCTACAAGCCAGACCTATTCACCTCTTGCCACCTACTAGCTGTTTGATCAAGGGCAGGCTACTGAACCTCTCAAAAGCAGCAATCGCACATATCAAGCAAGACTACCGATGGGGATCAAGTGAAATTGCTCACATAAGACCCTGAACACAGTGACTCTCTCATAAGAGTACTTATTAAGTAGTAGTTTCTCTTGGCTTCTGATAAACGCCACTACTGAGATTCTTTCCTAGGTGTAAATAGCTTTGGTTCAGAAACAAATACATGGGTGTGTTTGGCAGAAGGGAAAGGCGGGAGCATCATGATAATGGGGCTGACACAGATTTTAGACAAAGGAAAATTGCTACAATCTGGGTTTAGCATGGTGCTTAACATCAGGAATTGTGGAATTTAAATTTGGCTCTTTTTAAATACACGATCTTAGTCAAGTCATGAATCCTAATAGGTTAAGGTTTTAATGAGTATTAACTAAAATAATAAATGTAAATGACTTGCCCCAGTCTCTAGAACATAATGCTGTCAATAATGATAGTCATTATGATATATATACCTTTTTATTCCTAATAAAAATAAAAAATTGTTGCCCTCTTGAACATCATTTCCTTAAATGATGGTTTATACCATTGTATGGCCAGAAGCTAGATACTCTATACTGGAAAGAATAACATTGCTATCAAGATGCACTATTTCCTTTGGATACTGGTTGGACAATTGGATTTATGCCAAAAAAAAAAAAAAAAAAGAAAAGAAAAAGAAAAAGAAAAAGACAAATAACAGTTAGTATAGCTTAATGCCCTAGGTCTAAAGTTATCCTCATAAAAATGAATCAGAATATTTCTCCCTGTATAGGATGAAGACTGAGCCACAGGAAAAAAAAAATGGTTTGAAGGAGAATTAGAAATTCTTTCTTGAATAACTATCTTAAGACAAATAGGGGTATCTGAATGGCTCAGTTGGTTGAGCTTCTGACTCTTGATTTTGGCTCAGGTCATGATCTCACAGTTTCGTGAGTTTGGGCCCCACATCCAGCTCTATGATAACAGTGCAGAGCCTCCTTGAGATTCTCCCTCTCTCTCTGCCCCTCCTCCCCCACTCACACTCTCTTTGCCTCCCTCAAAATAAATTAATTAATTAAAAATTTTTTAATGTTTATTTATTTTTGAGAGAGAGAGACAGAGAGACAGAGAGACAGAGCACAAGTTAGAAGGGGCAAAGAGAGAGGGAGACACAGAATCCAAAGCAGGCTCCAGGCTCAAAGCTGTCATCGCAGAGCCTGACGCAGGGTTCGAACCCACAAACTGTGAGATCGTGACCTGCGCCAAAGAATAAATAAACATATTTTTTAAAAGAGAAAAATATATCCTTTGTAAGTATAGTGAAAGAAAAGGTACAGATCAGATTGATCTATTAGAGGTTTTTTTCATTTATAAATAGGTTATTTTAAATTTTATTTTAGAGACAGAGAGCATGAGCTAGGGAGAGAAGGAAAGAGAGAATCCTAAGCAGGCTCCATGCTCATGCTGAGCCTGACACAGGGCCCAATCCCATGGCCCTGGGATCATGACCTGAGCCAAAATCAAGAGTCAGACGCTCAACTGACTGAGCAACTCAGGCGCCCCAATGAGTTTGCATTAAAAAAAATACTAACACCTTTGGAAAGCAGAGAAAATAAGTGTGAGAAGTTAACTGAATTTTCATTTGAATGAGCAATTATAAACAAGAACAAAAATATGGTAGCAATAAGCTCATTAAGCCAAAATGTTCCGGGAATAGATAGGCAATCCAAGAAGCTGATAATGTGTGTTGAATTTTAGAAAACAGAGCTTTTAACTCAAAGTGGTTCAAGAGTGGGACAAGTTATTCTGCTAGTTTCTTAAGAACCGCTGAAGTATCAAAAGCATTAAGTTGCTGCATGTCAGAGCAAAGGAGGTAAGTTACTTAGAACAATTAAGGTTGCATATGTCCTGACAACTGAACTGTTGTTTGACAAGATTCTTGAGAAATTAAAAGTTACTTCAAAGATCAATTTAGGGTAGTGGTTTTCAAATTGGAACTGAATCAGAATCACCTTGAAGGTTTGTTAGAGCACAGAATGCTGGGCTCCACCCTACACTTGCTGATTGACCTAAAGTGGAGCCTGGTAATTTGCATCTCTAACAGGTTCCTAGGTGATGCTGTTCACGTTATTCTAGTTTACAGACAATGCTCATCTGATTTCTAGAATAGTATTTACCAAAATATGTCCTATAAAATATTAAGACCGTAAGTGTTCTATGGGAGTGAGAGACGCGTAGGAGAGGAATTAGACCAACGTAATGTTTACTTACAAATTTATTTTAAGGTGCATGGGGTTATACTAATTCTTATAGTTATAATGATTCCATGATAATAATGGGTATTTTCTTTTTTTAAATATTTTTTAATGTTTATTTTATTTTTGAGAGAGAGAGAAGGAGTGTGTGAATGGGGAAGGGGCAGAGAGAGAGGGAGACACAGAATCTGAAGCAGGATCCAGGCTCTGAGCTGGCAGCACAGAGCCTGAAGTGGAGCTCAAACCCATGAACCACAAGATCATGACAAGAGCTGAAGTTGGATGCCTAACTGACTGAGCCACCCAGGCTATTTTCAAATTCTTACATAATTCTTTCTTAATGATTCTTGAAAAACGTTTGCCTTCAGAATTACAATCCTAGTATTGTTGAGTTAGTTTGTGGCATTATTCAGTATTTGCTTTATATGATCACATAGGTCTTTCAGACAAGCTAGGTTCTGAAGATATGATTGGTAAAGAGATTTCATTTGGACATTCATTCAATAAACATCTATTGAGTGAGCACCTGCTGTGTGCCAGGTTCCATACTAGGCCCTGGTGCTTCAGTAGGAAACAAGACTTAAGAGCTTCCTGCCTCAGGGTGTTAATGTGCTATTAGAGAAGTCTGAGTATAAGTAATTAAGAAATAAATTACATGGGAGGATCTTGTCATTCATAAGAGATATAAAACAGGCTGGTAATTGAGTTACAGACTGGGAAAGCCTAGATGTTGTAGCCCTTCTTCAAAGCAGAACTTTTAAACTGAGACCTGGAGGGTAAGCATGAGGCATTGGAGGAACCGAGAGAATTGCATCACAGGCATAAAGAACTTCAGGGAAGAAAGCCTAGAGGCGGGAGAGGCCTTAGTGTGCTTGGGGACGAGGAAAGAGGCCAGTGTGGCTGGGGCCAAGCAGGTAAGGAAGAAAATGATAAGAAATGAAAGCCACATAAGCAGAATGAAAACCAGAGTCAGGGGACAGAGATCCGCACCTGAGCTGATATTCTAAAGTGGCATCTTTTAAGCAACATATTTATACTACACATTATGGTGACAGTTGTTAAAACTACATGGAAAAGAACTATTAGAGATCCCAGTGACAGATGGGCAACACATAAAGAGGTTGTTATGGGCTGAATTATGCTCTTTCCAAATTCATATGTTGAAGTCCTAACCCCCAGTACCTCAGAATGTACCTGTATTTGGAGTTAGGGTCTTTAAAAAAGGGAATGAGGTTGGGGCGCCTGGGTGGCGCAGTCGGTTAAGTGTCTGGCTTCAGCCAGGTCACGATCTCGCGGTCCATGAGTTTGAGCCCCGCGTCAGGCTCTGGGCTGATGGCTCGGAGCCTGGAGCCTGTTTCGGATTCTGTGTCTCCCTCTCTCTCTGCCCCTCCCCCGTTCATGCTCTGTCTCTCTCTGTCCCAAAAATAAAAACGTTGAAAAAAAATTAAAAAAAAAAGGGGAATGAGGTTAAAATGAGGTCATTAAGATGGGTTCTAATCCAATGTGATTCATTAAGACGGAGAAGATAGCCATCCACAAGCAAAGGAGAGTGGACTTAGAAGAAACCAACCCTCTGCTGACATCTTGAACTCGCCGCCGTTTAAGCCACCCTGTCTGTAATACTTTGTTATGGCAGCCCAAACAAAAGAATACAGAAATGCAAAAGAAACAATTTTTCCCTGTTCTTTCCCAACGTTTTCTCCCTCTGATATTCAGTACAGCTCTGCCTTAGGCTGTGAGGAAGTTTGATTTTTATCCCTTCATCATTGGGAGGCCATCAAGAGTCTGAAGTAAGGAAATTATGTGACCTGAATTATATTTTTTATAAAATCCCTCTGGCAGTTGTACGGACAATAAATTATAGGGAGGCAAGTGTAGAAGAAGGGCTCTTATAAGAGGCTGCTGTATTAGCCTAGCCGAGAAATGATGGTGGCCTATACTGGGAATATGGCAGTGGGGATGGAGTGTGGACAGATCAGTGGGCATGCTGGTGTGAAACTAACTCACCGGGAATGGGTTTTTTTCCAAAGAGCAATAAACAGAGATATAATATTCTATGTATTGAAGGCCTACTACATGCCAGGCAGGATACTAGCCTCTTTCCATATACTATTTCATTTAATTTTCACAATACCCTCCCAGGGTGATATTATCGTGAGGATTTTATGGATCTGGA